TCTTGGCATATACGTTAGTTGTTAGGCAGTCAACGTAGCACATGACTACTCTGCCGGGGGTAGGGAGGGGCTCGCGTGTGTGTGTGTGTGTGTGTGTGTGTGTGTGTGACTGGGACCTCCCCGTGACATCCCTCTGTGACGTACACCGACACTAGGGTTGGTGGGTGGGAGTCGCCAGACATTTATGAGTGTTCTACATAATGTGTTCATTAAGGTACAGCGACACTCATTGCAGTATCTGTTGACACCGGTGTGACATCGCGTGCTGAGTGCAGATGAGAAAGTCGCAGCCTATACCCGGTGTCGTGCCTTAACCGGGTGATGGATTTTCTGCCTTAAATAACACATAATTGGGAGATTACTAAATACTGATATATCTCTACACAAACAGTTATTACCTTATAAACTATAGTAAGTGCTGACTTGTGATCATCCTATAGTATGATCCGGTTAACTATACAGTGCATCGTTTAGCCGATATCAACATTCAAAGTAGATTTTAAACCAAATACTGGCCATATTGTGACGTGTTATACCAGTACAGATACATTGTGACCCCTAATGTGTTCTAAGTTTCCCGAACGGCTCCTAACTTCGCGATATGAAAACAAAGTGGCAAGACTATAGTGTTGTGGTGATATCATGATGGTGTCAGAGATATGGTGACTTATGATTATGAAGACGGTGCGGAGACGGGGGGGGGGGCATAGTGAGAGCAGCTGGGTTTGGTGACCTGAATGTGGTTTGGTAGTAAAAGAGTGACTAGTGGGTGACAGTGTTGTGAGCACAGAGATAATACTGGTATCAATGTAGTAAACAGGGTGACAGTGACAGTTGTTGTGTTTGGTTAGCACACTGACAATTGGGTAACTAAGCATGTTGGTGTGATGGCATCATAATGACTATAGTAACAGTACTGTAATGTGATAAAAATATCATACGTATCGTGACTGCATAAGTACAGTTTGATAGTGACTGTAATGCCGGTGTGGTGTGCATTGTGATAAATGCCTATAGTGACAGTACACTGAGTATGGTGACAGTAACACCATGACCTAATAATATGATGTTGAGTATAAGCCTAAGGTGGTGAGGAGAAAAAACTAATATGACAGTGGTGACAGCGTATCGTGCAAGTAAGCGCGTGACCATGTGGCGAACATGAAAATATAGTGACTATAAAGAGGAGTGAAAGTGGTGCCGTAGACCTGACCTTCGGTATACAAGGAGGCAGTGTGGCCGGCACTGCACTCGACCACCTTCACTTTTCCCAACTGTAAAGGCGACGGCATACTGGGCACTTTCCTCCCAACATGTTGGACAAACACGGTCCGTTCAGCAAAACAAAGAGACGTTTTGCATCACACTGGGAAGTTTTGTTGGCGCGTCTGCCCAACGCAACGAAAACAACAACAAAGCGCCTAGACGAGGTTCGCCATGGATCCCGTTACTACAGTTGAGGCCTTGTAGGATTGTGTTATAGTTCTCCAATTGCTGAAAAAATTGTGGCGTCTGCAAAAGCTAAAGAAAAAACAATGGGTGCGTCGTGAAGTTTCTTTAAAAGTGGCGGCGGTCGGCTGATCAAAGAAGACCCTGAATAATAATTTAATAATACTAAAGAAGTTTTAAAGTGACGAATAAATAGAAGTATATATTAAATTACCATTGTTTCATGATTTATTTCATTTTTTATTTGAAATTATAAGCTCATTTGAGTACTAATCCAGCCAGCAAAGATCTCCGCCAAACCGTTGTCCATTTCTTGCAACAGCCGAAATCCTACTGCTTGTTAGGCGTTTAGGCCAACGGCCAGCAAAGCGGACAACATGTTTGGAGAAAACTGCATCGTGTGCCGCCACCTTTAAAAAAAGTCCCCATTCATTGCTGGATGGAATGAGGATGCCCGGGAGCAAACCAGAGACACTTAGAACATGAGGTGGGCACTGTCAACTCGACCACCGCACCCCATATAGCAGTACGAAAGAAAAACTGACATTAAGAAATGCTGATTTGCTTAATCTGATATCACTTGTGCCATCGCTTATCGTGCCACAAGACGAGACAGACAGTGTGAGTGAGATCAACGTGGAGCATCGAGATGGTCAACAGTTTGCGTCACGGACAGAGTGACACAAGACGACACTGTAAGATGACATAATGCAGATAATTTCAAATGATTACAAAAATATTAATAAAATTCGTTTAAAATATATCGATTCAAGTACAGTCTAATTGATCTGATCAGTTTATACCGAGACCTAAGTGCAAAATACATGGTCAAGGATATTACTGTCTCAAGCGGGTCTAGCAACTTTCTGTGTAAGGAAGTTACCTCGAGTTAAGTTAATTAGCCTTAGCCCACATCTTGACCCATCAGGTGTTTCCCAGTTTATATCGGGAATATTAAACTCAAAGTATATTGTGTTTCTTGACCTTTAAAGAATTATTTCCAAGTGTCTTAATGATTCCCCCCGTTTTCATCTTCGATTTTGGAGGTCTAAACACCTGGATTATTGGGTTTTATCTTCACCTTCTCTGTAAGTTCTATTCCCAGCGTTTCAAAGTTATCTGTACTAATTTGTATTTTTAAAAGCAGGTTGTTTCCCATCATATGTACAGTCGCCTTCACTTACACCTGGTACAGTGGCTGGCACATTTTGTGAGATGTGGCAACTCTGTGGAATGCTTATCTAGCATCCTTAGTCTGGCTACTATTGTGAGGTTCCTTAGGGCCATTCCGGGAGTTTTAATACGATGTAAACAAACACTGAGTTGCCACATCTCACAAAAGGCAACACCCACTGTACCAAGTGTAAGTGCAGGCGAGTGTATAACAAAATCTCTATCTAGACAGGAAAGCTGACCCACTGTAATGACCTCTTTACCCGTGTCTGACCATCACTGACAGTAGAATGACAGTGAGACGGTACACTCTGAATAATGAGGCGAGTCTTGATAAGTATTTCTACAATATGACAAAGATGGTGTTAGCATGATTTAGTAAAGTGGAAGTACAGTGAGCGTGATGTTAATATAAGTCGTAAGTACAATTTAGTATGGTGAATGGACATATTGTAATAGCATGGTGACAGTACAGGCTATAGTAATATGATGATAGCAAACTGGAGTATAGTGACAGTATAGTGATAATAGTGATAGTAGTGTCAGTTTAGTGGTAATGAGGTAATTACAGTGACAGTATGCGAATATAGTGACATTATGGTTAGTTTAGTAGCAGTATGGTGAGTATGGTACCAGCATTGTGGGTAAGGTGAGAGTATGGTTAGCATGATGAAAGTATGGTAAGAATGTTGACACCATGGTATGATAACAGCATGTGGGTATGTTGGCAGTGTAGTGAGTATGTTGGCAGTGTGGTGAGTATGTTGGCAGTGTGGTGAGTATGTTGGCAATATGTTGGTATGGCGAATATGGTGACAGTATGGTGAGTATGGTGACTATGGTGACAGTAGGGTGAAGGCTGAGACCTCGTGGTCCGCGTCACCCAAGTATCATGTTACGTCCAGGTGGAACAACCCGGCCTCCGATTCTCTCAATTCACAGATTAACTCGAGTGAACATTAATCTTGGTTCTCTAGTAAATACTCTTCAGGTTTATACACTTACACTGTACTCTTATTCACAATGTTTTACCTTATAAAAAATATAAAGACGAATATAAAAATGATTATTAACATGTTAGCGATCTCAAACGAAGACAAAGTCGAGAGCTGGTGAGGGGATACGGACGATCGTACCACCTCCTGCGTTGTCAAGTCTTAGCAGTGCGATTCAATTCCCTTCAACAATTCAATCAACGTAATCAACTCGCGTGCAATGCTGCAGGGGCGACATTCCGACGTAATTAACTGCTCCTACACAATTTGCAAGATAGGGCATGGGGAGAGCGTAAACAGGGCCTTGTAGGAAGGCCCAGACGAGGGGTGCTGATGGTGATGATGACGGTGATGATGATGGTGATGATGATGGTGATTATGATAGGCCGTTACCACCCTACACACGACCACCATAACCACCATCCAAGTAGTTACAAACAAAGCACACACACTCGTTTACTTTATAGAAAGAAGAACATATAAGCTCCACAATAATATATATAAGGGTTGTTTTGCATATCTTCAACCGGTGTGTTGGTTATAAAGTTAAAGTTATGATAATAATAAATATTGTTTTAATTTCAAATGAGGTTCAAATTTATAATCATTCTTTGTAAATTCTTAAATAAATTAAAATGTAAATGCGTCTCGACTGGCGCCATATATGGTATCAAAGCAGTTTTACCACATTCAGTAAGCAGTCGGGGCAGAAAAATGCAGACAACAACACGTTTTTTGTTACATTCATGTTCTTTTTTTTACCATATACAGTGCCGTGTGTACATCAAAAGGTGTCCTGGGAAAATGAAACTGTTGTGATGAGACTTGGACGGAGAGGAAGTACGGTACACTATCACGGGTACTCGAGTCTACAGCAGCCATGACTAGAGGCTTAACACCCGGGTTTACATCTCTCGTGCGGCTTATATGTGAAAAACATATTAGGAAGTAATTTTCTTAAGCCCATACGCTAAGGAAGACTGGCTAATTCGGAGGGTGAGGTCAGTAGCCATCGGCGCCCAAGACTTATGGCTGCTACTGCGCCTTCACCTCATCCGCCGGAGAGCTGAGTTACTGCTTTCATTGCTACAGTATTAACTACCTACAGCTATATATTTTGCGTAACTCCACGATGAGACTTTCTTCACTGCATTGAGAACGCCTTTATATAATACATGTGCTGTGTGGTATCACCAGCAATTTTCCAAGTACTGTGTAATCTTACTACCGCAGCAAAAACAAGCTGTGTAAGTAAAAGGCACAGTACTTGGATATGGTTGAGGGCGTGATGGAAGACGTGCACGGCAGGCAGTAGTTTCCTCCGCGTGACCATGGGAATCTGTGGGATCATATGAACAGTTTACAGACAAAGTAACAACTCACCTGCTTCGCTGGTGTTGTCTGCGGACTGCTGGGAGGCGGGCTGGTGGGAGAGAGGACCGGGGGTGCCGCCCGACCCTGGAGATCGGGCGTCATCCCCGCCCGCGCCCCCAGAATATGACATAGACGACGACGGCGGCCGCTGTGGAGAGTGAGAGAACACTATTAGTTATAAACGTAGAGGAAATAGAGTTTTGGTTTGTGGTGAAACTGCTGAGATATAATGCGACCAAACAGGTAGGTAAAATACCAACTGATAACAAATTAATTAATAAAATGAGAAGATAATTAGATGGAGTTAATAAGACAGTTAACACCTAATTAACTTAAAAGTACCTTATGTTCTAACTCTCATTCTTTATCTACAATAACCAATCTCACCGCTTTAAAACACACACACACACACACACACACACACACACACACACACACACACACACACACACACAGGGTCACCTTTCTAATAATCATTGACATACTCTGAGTCTTATAAATCATTTACCTGCCTCCCATCACGACAATCTTAACTTACAGAAGCACAGAAATAATCCTCTCCTCTCCCCCTACCCACACCCTACCCCACACACCACCACCTCTACCCACACCCTACCCCACACACCACATCTACCCACACACCACTACTTATACCCACACCTCTTCCTTCCTCTCCCAAACGAGAGTCTAATATCACACCTCCCCTCACCTCCCTCATTCCCATTTCCCCCCCCCCAAAAAAATCCTACAACTATCCTCACATCCCACGACCTACCTCCTCCACCACCTCCCCTCCTTTACAAACCCCAATTCCATCCTCCTCCATCACCCCACGACCGTCCTCCACCACCATCAACCAACCCTCCATCCAGAACCTCCACTCCTCCACACCCTCCCTCCTTCCTTCACCATCCCGACGACCAGAGCGGCAACAGCAGTAGGGTCAGGAGCAAGCCATCGTGGGGAGGCGGCGGGAATACCAATGGCCAGTGTTGGGGCATGTTCTCTGCTATATTCTGCTACTCTCGCGATAACCAGGATAAAGTGCGTGTTTATTGGGCCCAAACTGCCGGGCCAGCCGACCTTAACCCGACCTCCTGGTTATAGCTACTACTGCTGTGTGCTGCATAGGGAAGAGGTGTGTGTGTGGGGAGGGGTGGATGTATAAGAGAGGATGTGTAGAGGAAATGTGTGTGTGTGTGTGTGTGTGTGTGTGTGTGTGTGTGTGTGTGTGTGTGACAAGCAATACAATTAGGACATAAACTTTCATCACCAAACCTCATCTCCTTTCCCATCACTATCCCCATCATCAGAACCATCACTAGACCCATCACTAGACCCATCACTAGACCCATCACTAGACCCATCACTAGACCCATCACTAGACCCATCATCACTAGACCCCATCACTAGACCCATCACTAGACCCATCCCATCACTATAGACCCATCATCAGACCCATCACTAGGACCCATCACCAGACCCATCACTAGACCCATCACTAGACCCATCACAGACCCATCACCAGACCCATCACTAGACCCATCAGACCCCATCATCATCACTAGACCCATCACTAGACCCATCACTAGACCCATCACTAGACCCATCACTAGACCCATCACTAGACCCATCACTAGACCCATCACTAGACCCATCACCAGACCCATCACTAGACCCATCACTAGACCCATCATCACTAGACCCATCACTAGACCCACCACTAGACCCATTACTAAACCCATCACTAGACCCATCACTAGTCCCATCACCAGTCCCATCACTAGACCCACCACTAGACCCATTACTAAACCCATCACTAGACCCATCACTAGACCCACCACTAGACCCATCACTAGACCCATCACCAGACCCATCACTAGTCCCATCACCAGTCCCATCACTAGACCCACCACTAGACCCATTACTAAACCCATCACTAGACCCATCACTAGACCCACCACTAGACCCATTACTAAACCCATCACTAGACCCATCACTAGTCCCATCACCAGTCCCATCACTAGACCCACCACTAGACCCATTACTAAACCCATCACTAGTCCCATCACTAGACCCACCACTAGACCCATTACTAAACCCATCACTAGACCCATCACTAGACCCATCATTAGTCTCATCACTAGTCGCATCACCTGTCCCATCACCACCCTCATCACTAGTCCCATTACTAGTTCCATCACCAGGCCCATCACTAATCTTATCACTAGTCCCATCACCTGTCTCATCACCACTCCCATCACTAGCCCCATTACTAGTTCCATCACTAGATCCATCACTAATCCCATCACCAGGCCCATCACTAGTCTCATCAGTAGTCCCATCACCAATCACATCACTACTCCCATTACCACTCCCATCACTAGTCCCATCACTAGTTCCATCACCAGGCCCATCACTAGTCTCATCAGTAGTCCCATCACCTGTCACATCACCACTCCCACCACTAGTTCCATCACCAGGCCCATCACTAGTCTCATCAGTAGTCCCATCACCTGTCACATCACCACTCCCATCACTAGACCCATCATCCACAAGGCTCGCACGAGAAGAATTATTTAGCAATAATAAACTCGGAGAACGACCCACTATCACACCTGGACGTACTCCTCCCGCTGCTGCCCGTCACTCACCACTCCTCCCGTTGCTGCCCATCGCTCACCACGTCTTCCAGCAGACATCCCTTGGAGGTGAAGCCCCCGGCGTGGTCCGGGAGTCCTGCTGGCTTCCACCACCCACTCGACTTTATGACTCTCGCCCTCACTGTTATTATGCTAAGCAGTCGTCGGTAAGTATTATGTACCGTCCTAACAACAACAACAACAACAACAACAACAACAACAACAACAACCCCTCCCACACCTTCCTCCGTGTCTTCTTAAAAAAAAAAATATCACTGGAATAAGTCACTAGTACGGAGTCAGGCTGTGCATAGTGTGAACGGCTTCTCCCCACCCCCTAAAACAGACTACTCTAGATAAACTGGAGATAACGGGTTGTATTTGGCTAGCTGGTGTTGCTCACGGTGGGTTCATTACAGTGTGTTGGTAGAGGTGGGTTGACTCTGATGGTTTTACGGACATGCGTAACCACAGGAAGTGGGCAAAGTTGATCACTCATTATCGACCATTTACAAGCACGGCGCGTCACTCTCATCATCTCCGCCTTGTTATTTCCGACATCCGTAACGAGTTGATGTAGTCAGATGATCATTACACTCACTCGCTATACTATTATTACCACGGGATACGAACAAAAATAACATAGGCCTATTACAAAAAACAAAAACACAAACCATAAATAATTCCTTTGCCAACTTCCTTTGCCAACACTACTCACACACCCTCATGAAGTCACTGGAAAACCACGCGACATAACTTCCGGCAGCACCATGGTCACTACCCCAGACGTGCTACGGACAAGAACTGGCTTATAAATGACGGAATTAACCAAGAACCCGTAGCACCTGAGTCTCCTGCTGCCACGCGCCGCCGAGGAACACTTCTGACAGCATCGTTAAGAATATCTACTGTACACGATCCTTGGGTCATCACTAGGAGTACTCACCATACCCATAGTTACTCACAGGAGAATCGTCACAGCCACTGCAGGAACACGACCGACAATTTTTACGCCCCACGTTCATGAGTTTCCAAGAGTGTCATATTCCTTGACATAGAGGGTAGTGATAATATAATACTGTAGACCTCATAAAACTGGCAGGAGGAAGACCATGTGTGATAGTTATAGTAGCGGTGACACTTTCGAGTAAGGGAGTGTTTAGACAAGAGCTAATCATAATGAGAAGGTACCACTGTGGAGGTGTGTGTGTGTGTGACGGTAGTGGGTGGGAAGATGTGACAGTAGTGAGTGGGAAGGAGGGCTTGGGAGGTGTGGCAGCAACGGATAGCAACAAGGACTCGACAAGGGGCAGATGTAACAAAGGACTCACCAGCTACATAAAACGATGTGGCTTACAGCGAGAGATGTGATATCACACGAATAATACGACAATTGATAAATAGTCTTACCAAGTCCAGGGCACAGTAATGGAGGATAGGGAGAAGCGTAACAATGGAACAAAGTTGAGCAGATAATTGACTTGCACTGGGTTGGGAGCGCAGAGCGGGTGTACACTCACCCACTCCGGTGGCGACCATGTAATGGGATGCAACCTACTTCCGTTGCCCACCACCGCACCTTATTATTCCGATTTTGCGGCACCTAAAGCGTGTGAAGTTGGGGGTCCGGCGAAGGCGTGCACTCTGAGGCATGTTCGCTTCAGTCATGCATAGTCATTACTACAACTTGGTAGCTCAAGCTACTTCCATCCAGCGATTAAGAGAACGAAATAGTGGTGATCGTAGAGGTCCCCTCGGATAATGACCGCTTGCGGGTCATAACAAATGCTAAGGCGGGTGTTGGGGCGGTGAGCAAGATTCCCGCGGCTCCTCACACCTCCTCCCTCCTGCACACCCCCCAGCTAAGGATATATCCCCCTTTCTCCTTATCACCGCGCATAGTTCCCTTACCTCCTAGTTACTAGTAGCTCCTACGTCCCATCAACCTATTATTCACTACAGTTGTACAACAGCATCGTCCTAACACTTAAATTCACATCAACAACACCGAAAAGAGGATGACAGCATTACAACAGAAATTCTTATAAAGTACTCATACATACATAAGCTGGTGTTACAGCTGCAAACACACTTGTGATGGCGCAGTAGAGATATGGATGCGGGGCGATCTTTTTTCCTAATATTACTCTCAAATGAAGTGATCGCGTCTTAAGACCCCCAGAGATCTATATACCTCACCGTCCCTGGCGCCCCCACCGTCCCTCACGCCCCCTCCGTCGTGAGTTCATAAGTGAACGTGTTGTGGGCGGGCCGTCGTCCCGAGACTAATCTTTGAGGCTCCAAACATGGGCCAACTCGTGCCCTCTGGATTACATGCTGCCTAAAACGGTGTCCGTGGGTGCTCGAGTGTCAGGTGTTGAGTGCTCTCACTGGGATCGTCTTTGTATTAGGATTCCTTCTTTATTTTCATATTGGTCATGTGATTACAGGATGACTTACAAGGAAGTGGTGAAGCCTAAGGAGGGTGAAGCCTATGGAACAAGGT